CAGACAGAGCTCCTGGTCTGAGCTCAGCAGCTGCCCTTCCCGCCATGGGACTCCTCTCTGCTACATACAGACACTAAGTGCGTCCTAGGGCTGCTCCGGGGCGTGTAGGATCACACGGTCATGCAGAGCCTGGCTGGGGACCCACCGGGTGGGCGCCATTCACGCGGCGATGACTTCTGCTTCCTGTTTCTGCTTTCAGACGGCACTGGGACAGAGCCATCGGTGCCGGCTGGCAGCAGGCTGCACTTTAGCCTCTATTTCGCCAGTTACTACTGCTTTTAATAAAAAACTTTTCTGTGGGGCCAGCAGATGGCATGGCAGTTAAGGCGTTATATTCCCACAGGGCCGCTCTTGGTTCAAGTCTCAGACCTGGTGGCTTGAAAAATCACACTGGGCGCGAGTATATGTGTGTCCAAAAACCTGAGAGGAGAATGAACGAGAAGGGACTGTGGCGTGGCCCTCCCACCTGGGAGGTGACTTCTCACTTCCCCCCTCTCTGTCTCTGTCCAGTGCACACTCTATGTGGCCAAAACCTAAGGAAAAAGAAATAACAACCTTCCGTCGTATAATCTACATCTAGAAGCGTACAGCTGTCCAGAGGCGATGCTCGATGGGTTTTCATTTTTTTTTTTGGAGAGATTTCACTGTAGGGTGCGTGCGCTCGCCAGGCAGAGAGAGACATAGAGACAGAAAGCGAGAAATCACCCCCAGAGGGGATGGTCACACCACAATCCCTTCTCCTCCATTCTCCTCTCGGGATCTTAGGCACGCACGCACACGCGCCTGGTGTGAGTTTTAAGCCACCGGATCCGGGACGCGAACCGTGGCTGACTGAGGGAGTACTGGTCACTGCTCAGGGGTGCGGACTGTCTGCCAGTCATCCAAGACCGCCTGCCGAGGAGTCGCCAGGGGGGCTCTGGGGTGGCTTCTCCCTGTTGTGAAAGCTTGTCTGGGGCTTTATCTTCGGCCCTTACGCTGAGCCAGTTTGCTATGGCCTTAGGGAAGGGTCATCCTAGGTCCACTCATTAATTCATTTTAGGTTTTAACCATAGAGTGTATGCCTTTGCAGGAGAGAGAGACAGAGAGAGGGAAAGTAAGAAACCACCTCCCAGGGAGGATGATCACCCGCAATCCCTCTTCCCTCATTCTCCTCTTGGGATTTTGACACTCGAGCACACGTGCCTGGGGTGATTTTCAAGCTGCCAGGGCTGGGACTCGAACCACCATGGTCGGCCTGTGAGAGTCCAGCGCCTTAACCACCACATCAACTGCTGGCCCTGGGCCCTCTATATTTTTTTTTTTTTTTTTTTTTAAGAATTAGTGTATTGCATTTAATTTTTTTTTTTTCAGTTTTGATCAGAGAAAGAGAGAGAGAGAACAAGAGAGAGAAAGTGACAAAGCAATCCACCAGGTCCAAGACTTGTACTGCAGTTGGCCCTGTGGGAGTCCAGCTCCTTAACCACTTCACCACCTGCCAGCCCCAGGCCCTCTTTATTAACCCTAGCTTGCCCACCTGTTTAAATGAGTGCTCCACACTTATTATTAAAGCTATTGTTTGAACTTGTGAGTGCACGTCTGTCGGAGGAGTGGAAATGTCGGATCATATGTTACTCTTGCGATCGGATTTAGTGATTTCTGCCAGTCTCCTTGGTAGTTTGCCCTGTCTAATCGCCAGGAGTACAGGTGAGCGCCACTCACCTCGTGTATTTTCTGTTGTTGTTGTTTTAGGTTTTAGTCATAGGGTGTGTTTGCTTGCCAAAAAGGAGAGACAGGGACATATAGAGCGAGGGCAAGTGAGAAATCACCCCCACAGGGGGATGGCCACGCCATAATCCCTCTCCTTCCTTCTCCTCTTAGAATTCTGGGCATGTACACACATGCACCCGGCACGTTTGTCAAGCTGCCAGGTCTGAGATTCAAACCGTGGTTGACCATGTGGGAGTCCAGCATCTTAACCACCATGCCACCTGCTGGTCCTGCCCCGTATCTTTTCTAACATATGGTTTCTTTCTTTTTAGTTAGTCATTTGGCCTTCAAACTTACTATTTTAATTTTTATCTCCCTGATCACTAATTAAATGGAGCATTTACTATTTTTTTGGAGAGGTTTTTGCTATAGGGCGCGAGGACTCACCAGACAGACAGAGAGAGACAGAGAGACAGAAAGCAAGAAATCACCCCCCAGGGGGGACGGTCACGCCGCAATCCCTTCTCCTCCATTCTCCTCTCGGGATTTTGGGCACGCACACACACGCGCCCGGCGTGAGTTTAAGCCACTGGGTCAAGCACTCAAATCGCAGTCAACTGCATGGGAATCCAGCAACATAGCCATTACGCTAAGTGCTGGTCCCAAATGGAGCATCTCTTATATGCTTTTTGGACATTCGAATGTCTTCTCTAGTGAAATAAATATAGTCTATTTCTGTTACGTCCTTGGTCCTTGGCATGTGTATTCTAAATATCTGTTCTTACTCTATGAGTTACCTTCACTTTCTTAATAGTGTCTTCAGACAGAAGTTCTTCATTCCAATAGGGTCCAATTTGTCATCGTCCCCGGCACTTAGCCTGTATGTCTGTTCAGGAATCTTTGCAAGGTCCTGCCCATGTCCCCCGTGCTTTCTTCTGAGAATCACTTATGGTTAGATCAACATGGGACCAGCAGATGGCGTCATGGTTACATCATTGGACTCCCACGTACTTTACTGCGATTTGAGTCTTGAACCTGGTGGCTTAAAACTTACACCAGGTGCGTGTGAGTGCATGCCCAAAATCCCGAAGAGACTAGAGGAGAAGGAATTGCAGCATGGCCTTCCCCCCCGTGGGGGTGATTTCTATATATCTATCTCTCTTTGTCTCGGGCGAGCATACACACCCTATAGCAAAAATCTCTAAAAACATAAAAAAGATCAACAAATTTGGTGATGTACTCAATGTCTCATTCATTCCACAAACCTTTCCTTGAACTTTTTTTTTGAGAGTTTTTTTTTTTCTGCTATAGGGCGCGTGCGCTCGCCAGACAGACAGAGAGAGAGACAGAAAGCGAGAAATCACCCCCCAGGGGGATTGGCACGCCGCAATCCCTTCTCCTCCATTCTCCTCTCGGATCTTGGGCATGAACGCACACACACCCGGCGTGAGTTTTAAGCCACCGGGTCCGGGACGCAAACCACGGTCAACTACATGGGAGTCCAGCGACATAGCCATTACGCTAACTGCTGGTCCCACCTTTCCCTGAACTTTTTTTTTTTGGTAGAGGTTTTCGCTATAGGGCGTGTGTGCTCGCCAGCCAGCCAGAGAGAGACATAGAGACAGAAAGCGAGAAATCACCCCCCAGGGGGGATGGCCACGCCGCAATCCCTTCTCCTCCGTTCTCTGGTCGGGATCTTAGGCACGCACGCACACGCGCCTGGCGTGAGTTTAAGCCACCGGGTCTGAGACACAAACTGCAGTCGACTACGTGGGAGTCCAGCGACATAGCCATTACGCTAACTGCTGGTCTTTCCCTGAACTTTTGACAACATTTGTGAGGTGCTGGGGAGGAAGCAAACTATTCGAGATAAACAAAATGGCCAAGAGAACATGGACACCTGCCCCGCGGGCTGAGCAGCAGTGTGGCCCTTCCCGGCCGAGCTAGGCACTGGCAGTCCCCACGTTGTAACGAGGGCAGACTAAGCAAGGGCACAACGGGAGGCGGGTCCTCCCCCAGGCCACAGGCTCTGGGTTGTGCTTTCCCTGTCTTCAGAATGGGGACCTCAGCTGCCCAGCCTGCCTGGGGAGCCCCTGAGGTAAGAAACGGGAGGGATGGGCCCACAGGTGGCGTGATTCAGGAACTGGACACTCCCACATGGCCAACCATGGTTTCAGTCCTGGGCCTGGAGGCTTGATGTCTCACTTTCCCTCTCTCTCCCTCTTTCTCTCTCTGGATAAATTTTAAAATAATACTAAAAAATAAAATTAAAAAATTAAAAAGAAACAGGGGGGCCGGCAGGTGATGTAGTGGTTAAGGTGCTGGACTCCCACATGACTGACCACGGTTCAAGTCCCCAACATGGCAGCTTGAAAATCTTGTTAGGTATGTGTGTGTGTGTGTGTGTGTGTGTGTGCCCAAAATCCCCAGAGGAGAACGGAGAAGGGACTCTGGTGTGACCATCCCCTGGGGGGCGATTTCTTGTTTTCCCTCCCACTGTCTCCCTAGTGAGTGCAAAATAAAAAATAAAATAAAATAAAATAAAAAGAAAAGAAAAAGAAAGAAAGAAAAAGAAAAGAAAAGCCTTACTTATTGGGACCAACAGTTGGCGTAATGGCTCTGTCGCTGAACTCCCTTGTAGCTGATGGCAGTTAGAGTCCCAGACCCAGTGGCTTAAACTCACACCAGGCATGTGTGCGTGCGTGCCCAAGATCCCGAGAGGAGAATGGGGGAGAAGGGATTGTGGCGTGGCCATCCCCCCGGGGTTGATTTCTCGCTTTCTGTCTCTCTGTCTCTCTCTGTCTTTTAGGCAAGCACACGCGCCCTGTAGCAAAAACTTCTCCAAAAACAAGCAAACAAACAAACAAACAAAAAACTGACTTATTCTGTGCAACTGTCCATGGGGCTGCTGAAGGGGCTGGCAGGCCTGGGCCCAGGGTGAGTCCTGGGGAAATCACACCTAGCACCCCAGGTCCCCTTAATAGCTTACTCTGTCAGTTGGCGCCCTGGAGTTGCCTTGAAGGAGAGAGAAACAGGCAGGATGTCCCTGCAGCAGAGGTGGGCAGGGGAGATGGGTCTGACGGCCAGGCTGTGCCCGCCTTGCCCTGAGAGAAAGACACTTTCATCTTTAACTCCTGATGCGGTAACGGGCCCTCTGGGAGGTCACGTGACCTACCCAGGGCCATGCAGCTGGTAAGTAACAGAGCTGAGACTTGAACTTGGGTTGTCCGACGAGGCCTAGTTCATTACCCATGGGCTGCCATGACTTCTGCAGCCTGATGCCTGTGTGACCACCTCTGCTTTGTCATTTCTAGGATCTTCTACCAGGTGCTCGTAGACACGGGGGCACTCAGCTTGGCCATGGCGATGGGTCTGCTATCTGGTCTCCTGGCAGGTCAGTGTGACCACCTTTCTCCCATTGCCCAGCACGCCTGCCCCATGGCTGCATGTGGACCTGCCCATCCGTTCCCTGCAAACCAACTCACTCCAGCCAATGAGCCAAAGGGCTCAAACCTTGATTTAAAAACTACACAATTGGAAGCCAGATGGCATGAAAGTTAAGGTGCTGGGTCCCACGTGGCTGACCGAGTGGTTCGAGCCCCAGACCCAGTGGCCTGAAAATCATGTTAGGTGCGTGTACGTGTGTGCCCGAAATCCCAAGAGGAAAATAGAGGAGAAGGATTGTGGCGTGGCCATCCAGCCGGGGGGGGATTCTCTCGGCACCCTCACCCCATTTCTCTCTGGCAAGTACATGTGCCCTATAACTAAAGAAGAAAAAATGACACAACTGGGGCCATCCCAAGGTGTGGTGGTGAAGGCAGCTGGGTCACACACAGCTGTCTGTGGGGGCTCAATTTCCAGACCCAGCAGCTTGAGAGACATGCCAGACACATGTGTGTGCCCCGAAGCCTAAGAGGGCAAATGCAGAAGAAAGGATTGTGGTGCGACGGCGCCCCGTGGGGAGCGCTTCCTCTCTCTCTGGTGAGCACTAGTTTTTAAAAAAGAATTATGTTATTTAACTTTATTTATTTATTTTAATTTGACCAGAGAGGGACAGAGAGAGAGAAAGAGAGAGAGAGAAAATGAGAAGGCAAGCCACCAGGTTCAGGACTTGAACTGTGGTCTGCCATGTGGGAGTCCAGTGCCCTTAACCACCATGCCACCTGCCAGCCCTGAGCACAAATTAAAATAGTAGTAATAATAATTGTAATAATAATAATTAACCTGCTATGCAAGTGGCATAGCAGTTACGCTGGACTCCCATATGGTCAATCTCAGTTCGAGTCCCAGACCCGGCAGCTTGAAAATCACACCAGGTGTGGGGACCAGCAGTTAGCGTAATGGCTGTGTCGCTGGACTCTCACGTAGTCGACTACGGTCTGAGTCCCAGACCTGGTGGCTTAAACTCATGCTGGGTGCGTGTGCGTGCGTGCCCAAGATCCCGAGAGGAGAATGGAGGAGAAAGGATTGTGGCGTGGCCATCCCCTCTGGGGAGTGATTTCTCGCTTTCTCTCTGTCTTTCTGGTGAGTGCATGAGCCCTATAGCAAAAACCTCTCCCCCCCAAAAAAAAAAAATCACAGCGGGTGTGCGTGCGTGCATGCCTAAGATCCCGGGAGGAAAATGGAGGAGAATGGCCATCTGCCCTGGGAGGGTGATGTCTCACTTTCCCTCTGACTGTCTCTGTCTCTCTCGCTGGCGAGCACACATGCCCTATAGCAAAAACCTCTAAAATAATGATAATGATAATAATAATAATAATAACTGGGGTCAGCAGATGGCACGATAGTTGAAGTGCTGGACTCCTGCATGGTTGACCATGGTTCAGGTTCTGGACCTGGTGGCTTGCTTTCTCACCTTCCCTTGCACTTTCTCTGTCTCTCTGGTCAAATTAAAAAAAAAATAATGATAATGAATAAAGTTATATAAAATAATTCTTTACAATAATAATAATAAATGAAATAAAATGAATAATTCCTTAAAACACACACACACAGCTACATCTCCAGGGCTCCAACTGGCCCAGTAAGCTATTAGGGGCCTGGGGTGCTAGGTGTGAGAGGTAAACATGAAAGGCCAAGGGCCACTGCCCGGGTCTGGGGAAATTCCCCGACTTGGCAAAGCTGGGGAATGCAGGTCAGCGTTCTAGCAGAGACTGGGTGGGCGAAAGGAAAGACAGGGACCAAAGCCGGTCGCGACAAACAGCCTTCTCCACTCCACGAGGAAAGCCCTGAGCTGGTGTTACCGGGAGTTCACTGGAGCCATTGGACACAGGCAGACCTACAGGGACACCTAACGGCGGTCCTCCCCGGGCCGCTCCTGTGGTCTTCGTGGTCATCTGGGACACCTAACAGTGGTCCTCCCTGGGCCGCTCCTGTGGTCTCCGTGGTCATCTGGGACACCTAACGGTGGTCCTCCCCGGGCCGCTCCTGTGGTCTCCGTGGTCAGCTGGTCGGGTTTTTGTTTGTTTTAGATTTTTGCCATAGAGCACCTGCACTCACCAGCGACAGACAGAAAGAGAGGGAAAGTGAGAGCTCACCCCCGCCAGGAGGATAGCAGCCACCCCACAATCCCTTCCCCATTCTCCTCTGGGGACTTGGGGCATGCACACACACATGCGTACACACACACACACACCCATCAAGTGTGATTTTCAAGCTGCCGGGTCTGGGACTCAAATCACAGTCAGCCATGTGGGAATCCAGCACCTTAACCACCATGCCATCTGCTGGCCCCATGAATCAGCTTTTAAGGGGTCTCTGTGTGACAGGGCCCTCCTGGGGTTGGGGAAGGGTTCAGACGTGTGGCCGTCACCACCGTGCAGAGCAGTCGCTGTCCTTCAGGGGTCCCTGCCCTGGCCAGTCCGTCTATATGTCTGGGACTCACTAGGCTGGTAGGGACGGCAGGGCTGCAGCTCGTCTCCCAGGGTGGAAGGAAAGGGACCCACTGCGAGGCCGGAAACTCGGCCAGTCTTGGCCAGCAAACGCCAAGCTCCGCAGGGTTAACGCTCCATTACGACTTTAAACAGGTCTGCTCCTCAGTCTCAAAGTATGGAAGGCACCGCCTGTGGCCAAATATTTCGATGACCAAGCTTTCTGGGAGGTAAGATGAGCAACCTGACGTGATGGAGCGTGAGTGTGTGAGCTTAGACAGCCGTTCACTCCACGTTTGTGAGAGAAAACTAATGAAAACGAAGCAAAGCGCGTTGGAGTAAAGGCTCCTGCACGCGTGCGTGTCTGGTGCATTGTGTGTGCGCGCGTGTGCATGCATGTGTGTGTGTGGGTGGGTGGAGGTGGTAAAGGTTACCACTTCCTCGATGCCCTAAAGTTGTTGCGGGTCAGAGACGTGTGCACGGCCGTCAGCCCGCCTGGAGTCCCTGACGTGGACACAGGTTAGCATGAAGGTGTCCGAACCCTGCAACGCGAGAGCTGGAAGGGGCCCTGGGGGCCAAGTCCAGCCCCTTATTTGCCAGGTGCTCAAGGCAGGGCCACAAGCTGGCCGAGACCTCACAGCGTGAGTGGGCAGGGCGTCTGGAACACGTCTCGGTAAGTAACGGGCACGAGAGCGCCTGCAGCTTAGGGCTGGGGAGCCCGGGGCTGCTCAGCAGAGGGCCCAGTGCTGCGGAGGCCTCTGTTCCCAGGGTCCCATTGCAGGGATGGTCGTCACGGCTGGGCTGGACATCCTGTCCCGTCACCCCATTCCCTCCTCTTTGACCTACACTCAGAGTTCACGAAGCTCTCCGATGCGTCACCCTGGGTAATCAATCGTCCGATCAATGGAGATCAATATGGCCTAGGGAAGTTGGGGTGGACAGAGGTCAGGCCAGTGGCCGGTGTCATTCCTTCCTGAGGCACAGAGATAAGACAGTGACTAGGCCTCCAGTCCCTGGCCAGCCCTTGGTCCACCAGCATTCTAGATTCTGATCCCTACAGGGATGGAGAAGCAGCCTCACTGGGGCCCGGGCACAGTGCACGGACAGAGGGCCTGCCTCTCTTCCCGTCCCCCTCCCTTCCTCTCCTCTTGCCTCTCCTTCCTCCTCTTCCTTCCAAACAGCTTTGAAGAGCTCACCCTGACATACGATGAGTCACACACGTTGAGCACTCAGGACTTGACACCTTATAGCAGACATGCCATGAGACCGTCACACGCCCAAGACCAGGAGCACAGCCTGGGGAATCAGCAGGTGGTGCGGTGGTTAAGGCGCTGGGCTCCCACATGGCTGACCGCGGCTCGAGTTTTAGACTCGGCAGCTTGAAAATCACACGTGCGAGAGTGCCCAAAGTCTCGGGAGGAGACCAGAGAAGGGACAGTGGCATGGCCATCCCCCAAGGGGCCATTTCTCACTTTCCGACTCTGCCTCCTTCAGTGAGCACATGTGCTCTATGGCAAAAACCTTAAAAAAAAAGGAAGAAACATAACCACCACCTGTGATCATTTCCTGTGCCCCTCTGAAACTGCTCTCTTTGAGAGCCAGCAGGTAGCATAGTGGTTAAGGGGCTAGACTCTCACATGGCCAACCATGGTTCAAGTCCCAGACCTGGAGGCTTGAAATGCACACTGGGATCGTGTGCGAGCATGCCCAAATTCCCGAGAGGAGAATGGAGGAGAAGAGATTGCAGCATGGCCGTACCTCTGGGAGGGGTGTGATTTCTCACTTTCTCTATCTTCCGGTCTCTGGTGAGTGCACATACCCTATAGCAAAAAAAATCTCCTTTAAAAAAAAATGGGGACCAGCAGTTGGCATAATGGCTATGTCGCTGGACTCCCATGTAGTTGACTGTGGTTCAAGTCCCGGACCCAGTGGCTTAAACTCACCCAAGATCCCGAGAGGGGAATGGAGGAGAAGGGATTGAGGCATGGCCACCCCCCCGAGGGGTGATTTCTCGCTTTCTCTCTGTCTCTCTCTCTGTCTTTCTGGCAAGTACACATGCCCTATAGCAAAAACCTCTCCAAAAAACAAAAACAAAAAAGGTGATTAGGGCACTAGACTCCCATATGACCAACTGCAGTTCAAGTCCCAGACCTGGCAGCTTGCTTTCTCACTTTCCCTCTCTCTAATTAAATAATAATAATAATAAAATAAATAAAATTAAATACAGAATTCTTAAAAAAAAAAAAAAAAAAACCTGCTCTCTCCCTTGGGGCCAGCAGGTGGCATGGTGGTTAAGGTGTTGGATTCACGCTAGCCGACAACAGTTTGAGTCCTGGACCCAAGCAGTTTGAAAATCATGTGGGTGCATGCGCATGTACACCCAAAATCCCAGGAGGAGAATGGATTGTGGCGTGGCCATCCCCCCACCCCGGGATGATCTCTCACTTGCCCTCTCACTGTCTCTGGCCAGCACACATGCCCTACGACAGAAATGAAAAGCAAAGCAAAACACACAGCTCTCCCTCCCCCAGTCTGCGCGGCACCAGCGGCCACTGCTGCTGTTTGCAGGACACACTGCCTTTGGTCTGGGCCTTTCCCTCAGCATGGTTCCTGGGGCCACCCATGTCGCGTGTGACCTGCCTCCTCTCAAACCGGCAGCCGGTGTCTCCCAGCTCCCTGCAAGTGTTCTTGCCCCTCAGGGCAATGTAGCGAAAGGACTCTGAAAACGCGGGATCCATTGGGCCGCTTCCCCAGTGCTTACTGAGCAACAAGTACGCGCCCAGCACCACACGGAGCACGACACGACAGGGCACACGTCCGCCTGGACGTCCGCCTGGGCTCCGAGTTACGAGGAATGTCTGCTGAGTACAGGGCAATCCGAGGCACCCCGTCTGCCAGCTGCTGGGGCAGGCGGTGAACGGGGCCACGGTGGCCGGAGCGCAGGGACCCGGGGCCAGTCACATCCCGTATGAAGGGTAGAGCGTGAGCAGCAGTCCTTGTCCACCTCTCTGGGCTGTTTTGAAGATCTAAGGTGACGTGTGTGGGCTCAGTGAAGCAGCCTGCACGTGAAGGCGAGGGTTTATCGTGGGGGCTTAGCCCACCTGGAGGGACCGCGTAGCCGCGCAGTGGCCAGGGCGTGCTTCGGTTCCGATTTCCAGCGAGGTGCGGGTCAGCGCCGCCTGATTTTTATCCTCAGAGTCCTGCAGGACAAGTATCCCGATCTCAACGGTCAGGCGCGGAGGCCCCTGCAGAGATGAGGGACTGCCTACATGGCGGAGCCAGGGGGCAATGCAGAAGTGAGCAAGCACCTGTCGTGGCTCCGTGCCCCGCCCCGCGTGCGCAGTGGACCCCACCCAGCCCGCCTGGTTGTGCGCTGGCAGGGCAGCACTTCCCGCCTCATCTGGAGCAAACCCCGTTAAAGCAGCGAGGGCTCAACCTTGCCAGGCGGACCCACCCAGCAGGGATTACTTACTTACTATTTGTAAGCCATCCAACAAGGCTGGTTTTTTTAAGTTTTGCTATAGGGCATGCGTGCTTGCCAGAGAGAGAAAGAGGAGGGAGAGAGAGAGAAGAGAGGGAAAGCGAGAAGCCCCTTCCCCGACCCCATGGCTCTGCCACAATCCCTTCTCCATTCTCCCCTCGGGATTTGGGGCATGCACACACACGTGCCCGGTGTGTTTCCCAGAAAGCTGCCGATCTGGCACTCAAACCAGTTGGCCATGCGGGATGCAGCCGCCTTAACCCACGCCATCTGGCTGGCCCCCAAGACTCTCTAAACATCGCCGCCTTCACTGCGTTTTGTACAAACGTGCGCTCCTCTGTCCTCTCCTGCACCCAGCAGTGTGCTCCCTGACCTGGGACAGACACCGCGGAGCACTGGGGTGACGAATCCACATCACATGGTCATTCTGGCTCTCAGGGCTGGGTGCACCAACCCTCTAACCCCCGGGGTCTACACAGACCCTCACCCAGACTCTGGTCGACATGGTTCAGTTTGTAACCGTGTTCCATGTCTCCTGCCTTCACCGAGAATAAACTGCTTCCTTTCAATTTCTCATTTCAATCTCTCATGATTCACCGTGGTTGAAGTCTTGGACCCGGTGCTTTAAACTCACACCTGGTGCATGTGTGTGCATGCCCAAAATCCCAGTAGGAGAATGGAGAAGGGATTGTGATGTGGCCATCCCTCCTGGGAAGGTGATTCTCACTTTCTGTCTCTGTCTCTCTGGCCAGCATACATGCCCTAGAGCAAAATATCTCAAAAAAAAAAAAAAATCCACAATGAATCTTTCTCAACAAGGAATTTTTCTGGTGACCACTTTGAACTATCCCCCTGTTGTGAGTGTCACATGCAGGACAGACTAGGAGTTTAACAACTTTGTTAGGGGCTGGGTCTTCCTATGTGCACGGGCCCATTAAATAATAAGCAATCCTGGCGGTAGCTGCTGGAATTTTCGAAGGGGGAGACCCTGGAGTTGGGAGCCCAGAGGAGCAGGAACTCAGAGCAGGGCTGGGCGTGGCTGAGCAGAGGGAGCGAAGCGTATTCCAGGCAGGGGGAGATGATGAGCAGGGACAGAGGACACAGAGCAGCCAGGCTCAGGAGCTTAGGAAGAGGCCGAAGGTGGCCGGAGCCACTGGGTTTCCCCCTCCAGGCAACGGGAAGCTCCTGAAACTCCAAGTGAGGAAACAACGCAAAGTCAGTTTTCGGGCCGGCCGGTGGCATGGAGGTTAAGGCAGCTGGTCTACCATGGCCAACTCTGCGGTTGGCCCAGACCTGGCATCTTGAAAATCACACAGGGCACGTGCGCATCTGTGCCCCAAGTCCTGAGAGGACACTGGAGAAGGGACTGCAGCATGGCATGGCTATCCCGAGGGGCTCTCTCGCTGTCTCTGTCTCACTGGAGAACACATGTGCGCTATAGCAGAAACAACAGAAAAGAAAGGTTTAGCGCTACGTAGGATGACAGGAGAGGCACGCAGGGTGGGTTCTGAGACGGCTGCAACACACCGAAGATCGTCCTCGGGCTTCTCAACAAGCATGTGCAGTTTATTTTAAAAACGATCCCACTGCCAAGAAAGCTAAACACCACTACTGTTCTGGCACGAAAACATAACCAACTGTTGAGCTCCTCTTGCTGTTCTATGCAGTTTAGACAACCTAGCCTTTTCACACTGGTTTCACCTGCTTCTGATTTAAAAGAAATGTTCTAGACACACAGCAAGGGGCCAGTAAATGCTTGTCCAGCCAAAAGGAGGAGAGCCAGTGCTTACATAGGCAGACGGGTGAGCTCTCTGCCCACGGACTGCCCCAGGCACCACGAGGCCCAGCCAAGAGCGTTCTTGCCCAGGAGGGAGATCTGAGTTCTAGTCCCAGGTCACCCACAGGCAGGCTGGTGCCCCAGGACAGATCGTTTGACTTTTCTGGGGTTTACTTTCATTTATCAAATGAAACCAGGGGCCAGCAAGGGACGTGGTGGTTAAAGTGTTGGGTCCCCACATGGCTGACCACGGTTCTAGCCCTGGACCTGGTGGCTGGAAAATCAAGCCATGCGAGGGTGTGCATGCCCGAAATCCAGACAGAAGGATAGATGGGGTTGTGTGTGCAGGGTGATTTCTCACTTTCCCTCTGTGTCTCACACACGCCCTACAGCAAAAACTTAAAAAAAGGAATCAGATCCCATCTTCTAAGAGTATGTGCTCTAGAATCGGACCTGGTTTTACCATGTCTGTGACCGCGCAGATCTTCAATCTCCCCACCTGTGAAATGGAGATAATGAGAGTATACTCCGGGCCAGCGTGGCGAGGTGGTTAAGTGTGCTGGACTCTCACATGGGTTACTGTGGTTCGAGTGCTGGACCTGGCAGCTTGCTTTCTCACTTTCCCTCTCTCTGTCCCTCTCTGATCAAATTAAAATAAAATAAAATAAAATAAAATAAAATAAAATAATTCTTAAAATAAAATAGTAGCTCTGGCTGGGTGCTGTGAGGGTTTAAAGAAAGTAAGGTCTGACTGACGCACTGAAAACACCCCACGTGGTACTGGCTGCTTGATTTCTGGTTTGAGCATTCTGGGATCCGAGGTCACTCAACACAGTGAGTGACAGGCAGTGATGTGGCACTGAGAGCTTAGGGTACATTCAGCTTGCAGAAGACAAGACCCAAAGAATTCAAACTGTGCAAGACAGGATGAGCTACGTCCTATGGTAACAGCCTCCTGTCGTTAGGCATTCCAGCAAAAGCCAGATGGCTCTAGGGGCCCCCGTAACCCACAGTCTAACCAGGCAGTATTCAATGCGGATCGCAAGCTGGCAGGTAATGCTGGCTCGTGTGGAAGAGAAGAGCCCATGTTTAAATCAACTAAAATGTATTTTGTGTTTAATGAAGGATTCATGGTAACCTTACCAAGTAAGGCCTATCCTCTTACAATTCTAATTTTATTAAAAATCCTCTTAAAGTCTTTGTGATGAGACACTTGAGTTAACACAGTCTTCAAGAGACTGGTCAGCAGGTGGCATGGTGGTTAAGGTGCTGGATTCTCACAAGGTTCTGACCAAGGTTCAAGTCCTGGACCTGGGATCTTGAAAATCACACCAGGTGCATGAGTGTGCGTGCTCAAAATCCCAAGAGGAGAATGGCCATCCCCTCTGGGAGTGATTTCTCACCTTCTCATGGTCTCTGTCTCTCTGTCTCTCTTCAGTGAGCTCACATGCCCTGTGGTAGAAACCTTAAAAAATGTTTCAAGAGATCAGGTCCGAATCGTATGTACGCCGATTTTAAGTGTGAGCAAATAAACGTGTCTGCTTTGATTTTACAGTTTCCTCATCTGGCTGTTGGATTTTAAGCAAAGCATCTACGAAAACCGAGAAAATCTAAGAGAACAAGACGCCCTTTCACTGCTGCCCACTTCTGTATGGAACAAGCACTCGTGACAGCCACACCCCGATACACAAGGAAACACGGCCACAGACAGACTTGCTATCAAAAATAAGACTAGACCCTTGTTTAAGAGCTAACTGAGTGACAGCTTTAAATAAATGGTTCCATTCAGGATCTTGCTATCAGCGTTTTCTTGGCTGCGGATACAGCACGGGGTTTTGGTTCCATTTTACTGACAATTCTGTCCCCTCCTCCTGCCTCCCAAAGCGTGCTCCCCAGCTACTTCTCGTCACAGCAGCAGAGCAGAAACGGCACGGGCAGCCGGAGTTGCCTGTCGTCCTGGCAGACCGCCGCTCCGGACCTGGTTTTACCATGTCTGTGACCGCGCAGATCTTCAATCTCCCCACCTGTGAAATGGAGATAATGAGAGTATACTCCGGGCCAGCGTGGCGAGGTGGTTAAGTGTGCTGGACTCTCACATGGGTTACTGTGGTTCGAGTGCTGGACCTGGCAGCTTGCTTTCTCACTTTCCCTCTCTCTGTCCCTCTCTGATCAAATTAAAATAAAATAAAATAAAATAAAATAAAATAAAATAATTCTTAAAATAAAATAGTAGCTCTGGCTGGGTGCTGTGAGGGTTTAAAGAAAGTAAGGTCTGACTGACGCACTGAAAACACCCCACGTGGTACTGGCTGCTTGATTTCTGGTTTGAGCATTCTGGGATCCGAGGTCACTCAACACAGTGAGTGACAGGCAGTGATGTGGCACTGAGAGCTTAGGGTACATTCAGCTTGCAGAAGACAAGACCCAAAGGAGCCCTGTGAACGCTCATCAGACACTTTGAAGCCTGGCATGTAGACAAGGACAGTTTTCTCTATGCTTCTCCAAAGACTTTACCGAGGCACAGCGGGGTATGCAATACAAATGTCTAACAATTCAAACTCTGCAAGACAGGATGAGCTACGTCCTATGGTAACAGCCTCCTGTCGTTAGGCATTCCAGCAAAAGCCAGATGGCTCTAGGGGCCCCCGTAACCCACAGTCTAACCAGGCAGTATTCAATGCGGATCGCAAGCTGGCAGGTAATGCTGGCTCGTGTGGAAGAGAAGAGCCCATGTTTAAATCAACTAAAATGTATTTTGTGTTTAATGAAGGATTCATGGTAACCTTACCAAGTAAGGCCTATCCTCTTACAATTCTAATTTTATTAAAAATCCTCTTAAAGTCTTTGTGATGAGACACTTGAGTTAACACAGTCTTCAAGAGACTGGTCAGCAGGTGGCATGGTGGTTAAGGTGCTGGATTCTCACAAGGTTCTGACCAAGGTTCAAGTCCTGGACCTGGGATCTTGAAAATCACACCAGGTGCATGAGTGTGCGTGCTCAAAATCCCAAGAGGAGAATGGCCATCCCCTCTGGGAGTGATTTCTCACCTTCTCATGGTCTCTGTCTCTCTGTCTCTCTTCAGTGAGCTCACATGCCCTGTGGTAGAAACCTTAAAAAATGTTTCAAGAGATCAGGTCCGAATCGTATGTACGCCGATTTTAAGTGTGAGCAAATAAACGTGTCTGCTTTGATTTTACAGTTTCCTCATCTGGCTGTTGGATTTTAAGCAAAGCATCTACGAAAACCGAGAAAATCTAAGAGAACAAGACGCCCTTTCACTGCTGCCCACTTCTGTATGGAACAAGCACTCGTGACAGCCACACCCCGATACACAAGGAAACACGGCCACAGACAGACTTGCTATCAAAAATAAGACTAGACCCTTGTTTAAGAGCTAACTGAGTGACAGCTTTAAATAAATGGTTCCATTCAGGATCTTGCTATCAGCGTTTTCTTGGCTGCGGATACAGCACGGGGTTTTGGTTCCATTTTACTGACAATTCTGTCCCCTCCTCCTGCCTCCCAAAGCGTGCTCCCCAGCTACTTCTCGTCACAGCAGCAGAGCAGAAACGGCACGGGCAGCCGGAGTTGCCTGTCGTCCTGGCAGACAGCCGCTCCCACTGCAGCGGTGGCCAGGTGGCTGGCATCCCGAGCACGCTCTGAGAGCATAGGGGAAAGGGCTGCGGCCGACCGTGGGTGGAGCCACACAGCTCTTGGGCCAGCAGGTGGGATGGTGATTAAGGTGCTGGATTCCCACACGGCCTATTGCGATCCGACTCCCAGACTCAGCTGCTTGACAATCATGCCAGGGGCGTGTGAGTGTGCCCAAATTCCAGGAGAATGAAGGGAAAAGGACGGCACAGGGCCAGCCCCCGGGGGTGATGTCTCACTTTCCCTCTCCGGAAAGTGCATGTGCCCTATGGCAAAACCTTAAAAACAGACGAAAGCACGGTTCTCTTTTCTCGAGGAAATCACTTAACATTTCCATGGCCTAGGCTCCCTCCTGGGTAGAAAGAGGGTAGATTTCAACCTCTAAGACCCCCTCCAAAATGCTCACGTGCCACGGATCTAGTGAGTGAGCACGAAAAGGCACAAGTGATTCCACGTGGGATGGCAGCACTCGCGTCACTCTGACCCTCACACACGCTGGCTGACGGGAAGGAGGGCCACACGGCTAAGTCACCCCCAATATCTTCTGCGCCTACTGAAGGACTAGCAGGAACCCGTCTTATGAAACAACTGCGTTTCAAGCTGTAGATCTGAAAATACATAACGTGTTTGTCAGCCCTGAGGGAGTGAGAGCTCCAGAGAGGCCCCGACGGGCGTCCCTCGCAGCTCATGTGGTAACGGGAACCCACCTTGCAGGTCCGTCCTGAGCTCAGCAGTCAGAACCCAGAGGAGAAACACGGAGTCCAGCTCACGGTCCCGGTCCCGGCCCGGTCCTTTTCCTCCTTTCTTCCATGGTGGAAGTGGCGGGGGACGTGTCAGTGTCGTGCATGTCCCGGCTGAGCCACATCCCCTGCCCGACTCAGTGGCACAATGCAAGAGAGGCCCTCAGACAGGACACCAGGCCTCCGGTGGCTTCTCTCCTCGGCACACTGACTCAGCCCTGGGGAGACCCCTGAGAGCTACTTATGCCACCGTGTTCACAGAAGTTTTGTAAAACTGTATGAACCAAACGCTAAGTGTAGCAGGAAAGAATTCTGACCAATGAATAGTTTTTAAAAACAAGAAAAGGTTTATATTTCATTTAACATTTGACAAAGAAGAGACAACATTTAGATAAACATATTCAACCTTCAGAGAACTTCCGCTGCAGTTCTGGACCGCAGATATGACGAACACTCCTATCGATTAGTTTCTCACTTTTACAAATGATACCATGATTAAGCTTGACAGACAGCTCTTGTGGAATAGTCTCCTTTACCGTTTGTAGCCCCTCCCATGCTCACCACAATGGACTCCTGTTGTTAAATAGGCGCGCTCATGATTTCAGCATTACACTTCAAAACTACACTCAAAAATAAGTTTAGAAAATGGCGTTACAAAAGACTGAGAAGGAGCAGTACAAAAGCCCACGCCGGCTGCGGGCCGCGGCATCGTGGCCTCACTGCCACAAGTCTTCAGTGCGGCCGAACTTGAACACCAGTCCTCTGCGGGGGAAAAACAAGGGCGTCAGATGACTACCTGTGTCTGGGGACAGCAGGGACATGTGAGCTGCTGAGAGTGGGGGGACGCACAGCGAAGACTGGATGACAAACATTTTGATAAGAAATGTGTCTAGGGACCAGCAGGTGGCCTGGTGGTTGGGGTGCTAGACTCCCCACGGCCGACTACAGTTTGAGTCCCAGACCTGGTGGCTTGCTTTTTCACTTCCCTCTTTCCCCATCTCACTCTGCTGAGCGTGCATGCCCCACTGCAAATTTTAAAATAATAATAATAAATATAATCAAATTTTTTTAAAAAGTATCTACATGCTGGGGCCAGCAGGTGGTTAAGGTGCTGAACTCCTACATGGCCAACTGCAGGTCAAGTCCCAGATACGGCAGCTTGAAACTCTCACTGGGCACATGTGCGTGCGTGCCCAGAATCCCATGAGAATGGAGGAGAAGGGACTGCAGCATGGCCATCCCCCGGGGATGATTTCTCATTTTCCCTCTCTGTCTCTCTCTGGTGAGTGCATACGCCCTATGGCAAAAACCTTAAAAGAAAAAAAAAGTTTATGGTTTTCAGGGGAGTTAGTAATCTTTTCATTGCTAAATGCAGCAGAAGGATAACATTAGGGCATTTCCTCCATTCCGCAAATCTCACCCTTAAATTCTAACGGCAGCAAGAACGGAAAAACCATAAATGTACTAGGGAACCAAGTTTTAAGGTTTTAAGCAGCCAGACCCCCACATGGCCAACCACGGGTCAAGTCCTAGATCTGGCAGCTTGAAATTCATGCTGGGCGCATATGCATGTGTGCCCAAAATCCTTAAAAGTGTTCTATAGGGGGACCAGCAGTTGGCATAACGGCTGTCACTGGACTCCCACGTGGTCATCTGTGGTTCGAGTCCTGGACCCGGTGACTTAAATTCACGCCAGGTGCGTGTGCGTGCGTGTCCAAGATCCCAAGAGGAGAATGGAGGAGAAGAGACTGTGGTGCAGCCATTCTCCCTGGGGGGTGATTTCTCGCTTTCTGTCTCTCTGTCTTTTTGGCGAGCACACGTGCCCTATAGCAGAAACCTCTCCAGAAAATAAAATGTGTTCCATAGGCCGGCCGGTAGCCTAGTTAGGGGAGCCAAATCCCAAATGGTCAACAGCGGTTCAAGTCCTGACCCCGGCAGCTTGAAAAACACAGCAGGCATGTGTATGTGCCCCAAATCCCAACGGGGGAGAAAGGAAGGAGGAGGGACTGCAGCGCGACTGTGCCCCACGGGGCGCTCCCGCTCTCCGTCTCTGCTCTCCAGTGAACGCATGGGCTTGCTGACACACACGGAACGCACACACACACACGCACAACGCATACACACACCGAACACACACGTGCACACACACAAACACACATACGCACACAGAATGCACCCACACACACCGAACACACACACGTGCACACACACACACGCACACAGAATGCACCCACACATACTGAACACACACATGTGCACACACAAACACACATGTGCACACAGAATGCATCCACACACATACACGTGCACACAGAACGCATCCACACACACGCAGATACACACGCACACAAAACGCATCCACACACATGCACACATACGCACACACACATGCACACAGAGAATGCACACACAAGTGCATCCACACACACGTGCACACACACACGCACACACACCTGTTTTGGTCTCAGCCCCTCTCCTATAAACCTATCAGAACGCAAATCGTAGGGGCACTACCTAATGACCTTCAACTACTCTCTTCCCAAAGGCCCCATCTTCGACCCCATAATCGCATCAAGTGTTTACTGTCTCCATCCCATCACAGTGGCTCAGCACGTGAATTCTGGGGGAAATGTTCAAACCGCTGCAGCAACTGCTGGAGGTCCAGGTTTAGAAGGAACATTGTTGGTGTTACATAACCAAATCTACGTGGGTCAGTTGTTCATAAAAGAGGTGGAGGCAATTTTAACAATGAATGTATGTTTTCAAGCTAGCAGCAGGCCAATCCATACATGAAACTATCCTTCTCAAACCCAGGAAAGTGACATGGGGGAGGGCCACTAGACAGGGGTAAGCTGGGCAACTAGTATAGTAAATAATATTAAATAAACTACTGCTTTTTATTTTTTCTAAAGATAAGATGAAGGGGGCCAGCAGGTGGCATGGTGGTTGGGGCACTGGACTCCCATATGAACAACCACGGTTTGAGTCCCAGACCTGGTGGCTTGCTTTATTTCCTCTCTCTCTCTCTCTCGTGAACATGTGTACCTTATAGCAATTTTAAAATAATAATAGTGATAAATAAAATTAAATAAATCATTCTTTAAAAAAAATAAAGATAAGAATGAAAAAAGAAACTTACCCAAAAAAGATGAAGGCATTCTGGAAAAATACAGCAATTCCAGGGTACACTACAGCTTTTTCTGGAAAAGTAAGTGCAATATTTAAAGTTGATGATCTCGAAACATTTAGTTCCAGATATACCGGCAGTTGACCTGCCTGGCTTAGCTGACTCCCAGCAACCATGGCTGGCATGAATAAACAGCACACACGCCAGCCCGGCATCGGCCTAGTGAACAGCCCCCCTCGCTCACCCCGGAAGTATTTCCTGAGGGCGTGTTCGGGGCTGGCACTGTTTAGCGTGCCCAGGACACAGCGATAAACAAAGCAGGCCTGGTTTTGGCCCTCACAGAGCGGGGCCACATGCAGAACAGACAGGAGAACACGTGGTAGGAGGGGAGGAAGCGCAGCAGGTGATGCCATCTGACATGGAGGGGGAGCCTCGTGAGGGTGGCAGGGTAAGCATGGAGGGCGTACGAGCGGGGACCGGGCAGGAGCACAGGCGAGTGCACAGGCCCTGAGCTAACTGCAGGCCAACACGCGGAGGGACGGCCACATGGACAAAGGAGGAAAACAGGAGACAGGGCAAGGGGAGGGCAGTGAAAAGCGAGGACTCTGGTCTTTCCCGAGTGAGATGAGAAGCCGTTGGAGGGTTCAAGCAGGAAAAGTGACACCAGCTGACACAATGTAACGCAGCTGCCCTGGTAAGAGCAGATTTTTTTTTGGAGAGGTTTTTGCTATAGGGCACGTGCGCTCACCAGAGAGACAGACAGAGACAGAAAGCGAGAAATCACCCCAGGGGGGATGGCCATGCCACAATCCCTTCTCCTTCATTCTCCTCTCGGGATCTTGGGCACGCATGCACACGCACCCGGCGTGAGTTTAAGCCCTGGGTCCGGGACGCAAACCGCTGTCGACTACATGGGAGTCCAGTGATGTATGTTTGCGGTTCGCATCCCAGACCTGGTGGCTTAAAACTCACACCGGGCCCGTGTACGTGCGTGCCCAAGATCCCGAGAGGAGAATGGAGGAGAAGGGACTGCGGCGTGGCCATCTCCCCGGGAGGGTGATTTCTCGCTTTCTGTCTGTCTGTCTGTTGAGCGCATGCGCCCTATGGCAAAAACCTCTCCAAAAAAAAAAAAGGGCAGGTTCAAGAGGGCAAGAGGAGAAACAGAGGAACCTGCTGGAGGCTCTCGCCAGACATCAGGCGAGTCGCTGCAGATGAAGCAGAGTGGCAGCAGCAGACAGTGCGGAGAGGTTAGGTCCAGACGTGCTTCTCAGCAGAGCACGTGAGCTGCTCATGGGCTGGATGCGGGGGGTAAGAAGGCGAGGTCAGCTCTGGCAGGCCTCAGCCACCCCAGGTTTTGGCCTAACCACCTGGAAGTACAGCGTAGCCATTACCGAGGGTGAGAAAGACTGCAGAGGGAAGATATTGTTCTGATTGTGTTTGGGATTAAAATGAAAACTCTCCTAACTTCTACTATTGGAGCCGACAATCCCAGAGACACGATAAATAGAACTGTGAGCTTTGTCTCATCTCAGAACAGCTTCGCATTAATCTGAATCACATGACCGTTGGCGGATGGTGGTCCAGCAGTAAAATGTGAGGTTCTGCAAGACTGACCTACAGGAAAGGGTCCCAGGTTCGTATCCAGAGACCTCCCTGAGGATGTAGGACACATGTGTGCCCATGGGCCAGGGCTGGCTCACAGCATCAAGACCCTGTTGGGGCTGTCTCTCTCTCTCTCATTCATGAAATAAATTATTTAAAGTTGAAAATTACATATAGTTCAAAATACACTATGATCAAATGGTAATTTTACCATACAATGAAAGGAAGTCATTAATAATTGGTCATAGTTTATGATGTGCTAATGTTTATTTTATATTATAAGTCTACTAAATGTTTTCTTAAATCTTTAACAGAAGGATCTCCCAGTCAACTTCAAGGGCTTCTATCAGATTTATCTTTTAAACCAACCATTTTGATCACAGCATCTCTGCCTTAAACATATTCGAAAACTCATCACCCACAAAACCAAATCCAAACAGCTCAGCCTCCAAAGTACGGTTTCAATCTTATTTTCCCAGTATACTCCTAAATATTACCTACCCCTACACTTACCTCTAAAATGTCAATTCCATTTTTTTTCTTTTAAAAAAATTTACTTAATTTTGTTATTATTATTTTTTATTTGATCAGAAAGAGATAGAGACAGAGAAAGGGAAAGTGAGAAAGCAAGCTACCAGGTCTGGGATGTGAACTGTGGTCAGCAATGTGGGAGTCCAGTACTTTACCTACCATACCATCTGCCATCCCATCAGTTTTCTTTTATGCAGGTCATTTTTTCTCTAAAATGTCTTATGCTGGTTCAATGTTTTTTATCCTCTAGTAACAAATGCCCATTAATGTGTAACTTCCGTGTCTAACATGATACACTAAACATTTTATCTCTTCATTTTATCTCAGAAGCACTGACAAACCTCAAGAAAAACCCCAAACAGGCAAGTGTAACAGTGGTTTGCGCAGTTTGGACAGGCCGTCACTGCCATTCCACAGTAATAGCCACCGTCACCACAGTGGCTCCAACTGTCAGCAGAACAGCACCTTCATCAGATGACAGGACTGCCAACAGTGTTCGAAGTATAACCTCGTTCCAGAAGCCTTTGGAAAAACTTAAAATTCTTTAAGACGGCTGGCGTGGTGGTTAAGAGCACTGGACATTCCCACGTGGCTGACCACGGTTTGAGTCCCAGACCTGGTGATTTGCTTTCTCACTTTCCCTCTCTTGCTCTCTCCCATTCTGTCCCTCTCTCATCAAAATAAAATAAAATTAAATAATTCCTTTAGAAATTCTGTAAGATAAAGACTTTGCTATAAAAGGGGACTCTGAATTAATAGTTGTGTACAGAGACCAGCAGGTGCATAGTGGTTAAAGTGCTGGACCAGTTTGAGTCCTGGACCTGGTGGCTTGCTTTCTCACTGTCCTTCTCTCTTTCTCTCCCTCTCTCTAGTCAAATTGAAAATAATAACAATAATGATAATAATAAAATTTTTAAAAATACTTGTGTATGAAAAAGAATTATCAAGGGGTCAGCAGGTGGCTTGGTGGCTAAGACCCTGGATTCCCACACAGCTGACCACAATTCAAGTCCTAGGCTTGGAAGCTTGCTCTCTAAATTTCTCTCTCTCACTCTAGTGAGCACATGTGCCCTGTAGCAAACTAAAAATAATAATAATGATAAAAAGTAAATCGTTCTGGGGCCGGCAGGTGGCATGGTGGTTGGGGTGTTGGACTCACATGGCTGACTGTGATTTGAGTCCCAGACTTGGCAGCTTGCTTTCTCACTTTCCCTTTCTCTACCTCTCTAGCTCTGCCCCTCTCTGGTCAAATTTAAATAAAAAAGTGAAATAATAAAAATTATTATTAATAGTTAATTAAAATGATTTTATTTAAAAGAAAGCAAGCTTTAAAAAAAGAATTATCGGTCATTTTATTTACTTATTTTTTGAGTTCTTTCATATTCTCAGTTTTCTTTACCTTTTAAAGAATTATTTATTTTGGGACGTAAGAGTTGGCACAGTGGTTATGTTGCTGGACTTCCACCTAGCCGACCACAGTTCAAGTTCTGGACCCGGTAGCTTAAAACACACCAGGCGCATGTACACCCAAAATCCCAAGAGGAGAATAGAGGAAAAGGGATTGTGATCTGGCCATCCTCCCTGGGGGATGATTTCTTGCTCTCTATCTCTCTGGCAAGCACACATACCCTATAGCAAAAATCTCTCAAAATATTTTTTTAATGAATTATTTAATTTTACTTACTATTATTTAAAAATTTACTATTGGGCACACATGTGTGCTCACCAGAGAGAGACAAGGAGAGTGAGTGAGATAGAGGGAAGTGAGAAAATAAGCAGGGTCAAGACTCGAACCATGGGACCATGTGGGAGTCGACCATGTGGGAGTCCAACGCCTTAACCACCACGCCACATGCTGGCCCTATTCTCTGCTTTCTATGATGAACAAGTATTGTGCAATTCACATGATTAAAAAGTCATTTTTTTTGTTTTCAAAATATGATGATGACAAAGATTCTTTAGCAACAAGAGATGACTTTTAATATGCTAGATGAGAAAGCAAGAATTTGGGCCAGCTCCATGGCCTGGTGGTTAAAATAGCTGGATTCCACATGGCCGACAGCACCGTTGTCAGTGAACTCTGTATGAGTAATGCTATTTTTTTTGGGGGGGGGGAGAGGTTTTTTGCTATAGGGCACACGCGCTCGCCAGAAAGACAGAGACAGAGAGACAGAAGGCGAGAAATCACCCCCCGGGGGGATGGCCACACCGCAATCCCTTCTCCTCCATTCTCCTCTCGGGATCTTGGGCATGCACGCACACGCACCCAGCATGAGTTTAAGCCACCGGGTCCAGGACTTGACTACATGGGAGTCCAGCGACAAAACCTTTATGTCAACTGCTGGTCCCTAACAATGCTTTTGTCTCAGAAATTGTCGCAGTATAAATATGTAGTTTGTCATATTTTCAAGTTCAAGAATTTTGACCATGAAGAACTGAGCTAAACTACATTGTTCTCACCTGCTATTTTGATTAAGCTATTTCATGACTGTATCAGAAAAAAAAAATTGAAGAGCAGATGGCGAGCTGACTATGCTGCTGGACTCCCACATGGCTGACTGCGATTCGAGACCTGGACCTGGAGGTTTGAAACTCACACCAGGCTTATGTGTGTGTATGCCCCAAATCCCGAGAAGAATGGAGGAGAAGCGATTGCCCATCCTCTCTCTGTCTCTCTGGTGAGCACATGTGCCCTATAGCAGAGATGTCTGTAAAATAAAAATTAAGAGTTACGAGATTATTATTATAGTTTCTTTTATTTCTTCTATTTCTACAATTTTAGTAATATGATTTTAATAGGTTATATAAATAATAGAAAAATGCTAACATATTTAAGTGCCTATTATTCCTATCAATAAGTTTTAAATAATTTTGATAACAATTTAGAAAAACCATTATATATTTATTTATTTTGTTATAAGGCGTATGTACTTGCCAGAGATAGATGGAGAAAAAGGGAAAGTGAGAACTCAGTCGCCAGAGGGGATGGTCTCATTGCAGTCCTGTCCCCTCTGCTCTCCTCTCAGGATTTTGGGCACGCACGCACTCGATTCTCAGGCTGCCAGGTGCAAGGCTGGGACTGTGACGCAGGCCATGTGGGATCCAGTGCCTGACCCTCCATGTCCCCATGACTTTAATCTAAACCTGACATTTCATTCAAGCGCATGGACCTTCGGGCAAAATAAATAACCAACTTTAATGAAGACTCCAGTATGCCACTGAAACAAAATGGAACCTGTGCTTTCTCTTACCTTTAGCAACGTAACCTCCAAAGAGAATCCACATAGACGCAATCAGAGATCCGAAGGCCAACATGAAACCAATGAACAGCCAGACGCGAGCACCTGCCAGGAAACAGCACTTTACCAGAACTGTCCTCAGGAGGCAGCAGTCAGTGACTGAGTTTCAAAAGGAAAACAAAGTCCGCACAGAAACTCGCCGCTAAGGACTGCAGCAGCGCCGCGGGAAGCCCCTCTCACGGCGGGATGCTCACCTTTCCTTCCTGGTTGCTCTGTGCTTTATTTTCTAAACTATTCATTTGCTGGTATTTATATTGTGTGCACATATTTATTTGCCCTATTTTTTTTTTAAGTTATTTATTTTTATTCTTCAATTTGACCAGAGAGCGAGCGAGCGAGCGAGTGCATGCACAAGCGAGCTGCTAAGGCTGGGACTCGAGCACGGTCTGCCATGTGGGAGTCCAGCGCCTTAACCACCACGCCACTTGCTGGCTCCTGCCCCAACTATCTACACTGAGAAAAACTTCACTCAACCTGCCTATAAAGTATCTCATAAGATGTTTTACCATCTTTAGAGGCTTATTCTCTGTGTTTTTGGAAACTGCACTTCCAAGTTTAAAGTCCTCCAGGGGAACGCTTGGGCAGTAAGATGGTATACTTATACACAGATATTTTGAAGAATTCAGGGGCCAGCCTGTGGCCTGGCAGTTAGGGTGGCTGGCTCCCACAGAGCGAACCACGCGGCCTGAGTCCTGGACCTGGCGGTGCAGAAACACATGGGTGCCTGTGTGTGGGTGCACAAACTCCCAACGGGAAGGAGAGGTGGAGGAGCGGAGACTGCAGTGTGACCAGGCCCTGTGGGGGTGCTCTCTCACTCCTCCTACTCCCGTCTGTCTCTGGCAAGTGCACACACCCTCTGGCAAATTAAAAATTTATATTCAGAGATATGTGATTCTAAAAGCTACCGTATTCCATTTTTAAGAAAGTCAAAAGCAAAACAAATTAAAATTTATTGTGGCTGGCACTTAGAAAAGTTCTGTTCAGATTATGTTAACAAAGGAGACCAAGCAACTTTTAACTGTATTTATGTAATATTTATGAAGATTTGCTATAAATAATAAATGCAGTTATTAGATTGCCTCATATGAATTCTGAGATATGAATCTCTTTATTTAATTAGCACAAATACACTTTAATAAAAACACTGCCTACCTCAATAAGACACAGCAAATAGAATGTTAATTTCTGAATTCATGCCAAAAACATAAAACACTAGCAAAAAAAACCCAAAAAAACTAAAAAAAACAAGCTGTTACGCACAGATGTGCTATTAAAACAAACACGACTACCTCTGGACACCCCCAAGCCATGCCAGCTAACACAGTTCATTCAGAGATGTGACAGGCACGTTCTAGTCCTGGCTCTAGCTTTTCCTGGCTTATCATAACACAAGCCACTTAATGTTCACACCTTCTTTCAAAAGATAATGGTAGAACAGGTGTTTCAGTAAAAAAAAAAAAAAAGAAAGAAAGAAAGAAAAACCACGGGACCAGCAGATGGTGTAATAGTTATGTTGCTGGATTCCCACTGGCCAAGCGTGGTTCGAGTTCTAGACCCGGAGGCTTGAAATCACTCCAGGTGCATGTGTATGTGTTTTCGAAATCCTGAGAGGAGAATGGAGAAGGGATTTTATGTGTCTATCCCCTGGGGGTGATTTCTCACTTTCTCTCTGTGTCTCTTTTTGTTTCTCTGGTGAGCACACACACCATTTAACAAAAATCTTCCAAAAAAAAAAAAAAAGTAAGTCACTCCAAATCTGCCTAAACCTGTATTTTTATATGTATGTAATATTTATCACTCAAATGGCTTAATAAATCTCTGTCCCCTCAAATCTTTGTGTAAACGAACTCTGCAAAAAGCTGAGTCACATATCCTGCTCTGCCGGCCTCAGGGACTCAGCTGTGGAGTCCAGGGCACAGGAGTGCCCAGCTGAGAAAGGTGAGCCCCAGCATCAAAACTCAGTGACTCGGGGCCAGCAGGTGGTGCGGTGGTTGAGATGCTGAACCCACGTGGCCGACCACGATTCAAGATCTGGACCTGGCGGTTTGCTTTCTCATTCTCCCTTTCTGTCTCTCTCTGGTCAAAATTGAAGAATAATGATAATAAATATAATAAAAAATAAATTAAACCTTAAAAGAGGTCAGCAGGTGGCATGATGGTTAAGGCACTGGACACTCCCACATGGCTGACCATGGTTCAAGGTGCAGTCCTGGTGGGTTTCTTTCTCTCTTTCCTTCTCTCTGTCTCTGTCTTTCTCTGGTCAGATTAAAAATAAATAAATAAAAAGAATGAATAAGTAAAATTAAATAGAAACTCAGTGGCTCTCATCAGTTTTGCAAGATGGACATTCTGAAGATGGCTGCACGGCAGTGTAAATGTACTTAATGCATTTTAATACCTAATGCACATAAAATGGTTATGGCGGTAAGTCAGGGTATGTGTATTTTACCACAGTTAAAAACATAGGCAGGGGCCAGCAGGTGGCATGGTGGTTAAGGGCACTGGATTTCCACATGGCAGATCGTGGTTCTAGTACTGAACCTGGCAGCTTGCTTTCTCACCTTTGTCTCTCTCTCTCGTCAAATTAAAATAATAAGTATAATAACAAATAAAATTAAATAAAAAAATAAATAATTCTTTTTTAAAAAAATAGGCCTAGAGACCAGCAGTTAGCGTAATCGCTAGGTTGCTGGACTCCCATGTAGTCAACCACGGTTTGAGTCCCGGACCTCGTGGCTTAAACTCATGCTGGGCGCATGTACGTGCATGCCCAAGATTGCGAGAGGAGAATGGAGGAGAAGGGATTGTGGCGTGGCCATGTCCCCTGGGGGATGATTTCTCACTTTCTCTCTGTCTCTCTCTGGGGAGTGCACATGCCCTATAGCATAAACCTCTAAAAAAAAAAAAAAAATAGGCCTAGACATGGTGGCACAAGTGGGAGGTCGCCACTGCACAGTGGCTGAGGCTGCATGGGTGGCCTAGGGTTGGTTCCTGGCCCAATCCAGGTAGGCCAGGCATATGGTGTGAACCATGGCCCTAGCTGACTGGAAGCTGGGACAGGACGACTGCAAAGTGAAAAGACCCCATCAAAAATCCCTCTCTCTCGGTCTCCCTCTCACACTCACTCCTACACATGTGAGTTCTCTCTCTCGTTACTCACTGTGTTCATGTGCTGAAAAATTACACTGCAACAACTGTTATGTTAATAAAATTACTAATTTAAAATAACATTAAAAAATGAAACACAAAAAAACCCCACATAACTCCATGATTCTAAACTATTTCAAAATGTTAATTCGACCAAGTAAAGTTGGCAAAAAAGAAATAATTTCTATGGAACAGCTTAAAATACTATAAATTCTAGGGCAAGCCATGGCATAGTGGTTAAAGAACTGGACCCCACAAGGCTATTTGGTGGCTTGAAAAACATGCTGGGTGCATGTGCATGTGCACCCAAAATCCTGCAAGGAGAGACAAATGGAGAAGGGACTGGAGCCTGCCCACACCCCATGGGGGGCTGCTTTCTTGCTTTCCTTCTCTCTCTTCCCTAGTGAGTGCATGTGGCCTCTGGAAAATTAAACAAACAAACAAAACAAAAACCTGTAAATCCTATATTACACATATATTATTTAAAATAAAATTAAAGTATTTTCACTAAAATAATACATATTATCCACGTATTACTGCATGGGGTCATGTACACTCAAAACATATACTGTATACTGTGTCCTCCACAGCCATCTCTGACCAAAGGCAACCTGGTGAAACCTGCACGCTCTACCCTGGGTACACAGCCATTGTACACCCGGTCTGAAGCAGACAGACAAGTGGCCCTCACGTGGAGTTCCCACTTGAGGGATGGGAAGCATGGTGACATGCTGTCTGCACCTACTCACCTGTCTGACCCAGACAGCCTTCACTGTAGCTATCGCCTCGGACTTGGCCATTCGATACTGCGTTAATCCTGTGTGAATAAAATAAAGCCAAGAAATCAGGGTCTGTGACTCCAAGAAGAAACTATCCATGACATCAGATTACCATGCAATAGGCTGGGGCTCCCTGAAGTAAGGGAGGCCTTGTGAGTTCTGGCCGCCATGCGAGTCCTTCCACCAGGCATTATCTAAAGCGGTGGCCGTGGGCCCCGACCACCCACTTGTTAAAAAACATTCTCTGGTCTCACCCCAAACCTATTGAAACAGAAACTATGGGCATGGGGCCCAGAAATCTGAGTTTTAACAAGTCTTTCAGGTGATTTTGATGCATATCAAAATTTGATATGAAATTCTTTTTTTCAATTTTTTTTTGGCGAGGTTTTTGCTACAGGACGCATGCGCTCGCCAGACAGACAGAGAGAGACAGAGAGACAGAAAGCGAGAAATCACCCCCCAGGGGGGATGGCCATGCCGCAGTCCCTTCTCCTCCGTTCTCCTCTCGGGATCTTGGGCATGCATGCACACGTGCCCGGGGTGAATTTAAGCCACCAGGTCTGGGACTCGAACCATGGTCGACTACATGGGAGTCCAGTGACATAGCCATTACGCCAACTGCTGGCCCCAAATTTGATACGAAATTCTCAAGACTTTCTTCTTGCTAAGATCGGAACAGGTAAGGTAAAGGGTGATTCAGTTTGGTTCTGCCTGGCTTCCCATTTGTATTCGTCAGACACACTCAACATGTAATCATGTACGTACAGTAGAAAGAAAACAGGCCCTAGGTTTTGGATTTAGAATGCATTTTTGTAATAATTTTATACTAATGTCCAACCATGGAGAAATTATTATATTTCAAATCATTTACCTTGTTGCTCTGAAGACATTATCAAAGATACTGAGGGAGAGGGGCCAAAAGGTGGCATGATGGTTAAGGATGGATCCCACAGGGCCAACTGTGTGGTTTGAGTCTCACTGGGCCCAGGACTCAAATCGCAGTCGGTCATGTGGGACTCCAGCCTCCTTAACCACTGTGCCACCTGCTGGCCCTTTTCTATCGAATGAATTTTTTTTTTTTGGAGAGGTTTTTGCTATAGGGCATGTGCGCTCGCCAGACAGAGACAGACAGAGACAGAAAGCAAGAAATCACCCCCCGGGGGGGATGGACACGCTGCCATCCTTTCTCTTCCTTTCTCCTCTCGGGATCTTGGGCACGCACGCACATGTGCCCAGTGTAAGTTTAAGCCGCTGGGTCTGGGTCTCGAACCATGGTCAACCACATGGGAGTCCAGCGACATAGCCATTACGCTAACTGCTGGTCCTCTATCTAATGAATTTTTTTTTTAAGTTTAAATTTTATTTTATCAATTTGGTTTTCCAAATTTTTTTTTTTTCGAGAGGTTTTCGCTATAGGGCGCGTGCGCTCGCCAGACAGACAGAGAGAGACATAGAGACAGAAAGCGAGAAATCACCCCCCAGGGGGGATGGTCACGCCGCAATCCCTTCTCCTCCATTCTCCTCTCGGGATCTTGGGCACGCACGCACACTCGCCCGGCGTGAGTTTTAAGCCACCGGGTCCGGGACGCGAACCGCAGTCGACTATGTGGGAGTCCAGCGACATAGCCATTATGCTAACTGCTGGTTCCCCCAAATTTTGTTTTAAGTTCTAAACGGGGAAGGGGCTGCAGGTGGTGTGGTAGTTAAGGTGCTGGACTCCCACATGGCCAACCAATGTTTGAGTCCCGGACCTGGAGGCTTGCTTTCCTTCTCTCCCTTTCTCTCTCTCTCTCTCTCTAGTCAAGTTTAACAAATGATGATGATAATAAATAAAATAATTAAAACAAAATCAAGTTCTAAACAAGAAGTCTCTCACCAACCTTCATAGAGTACTACTCTAAATTTGAGACAGCTTTACTTTGAAAATTTTAAATATTATCACGAAATGTTCACCGAGTTACAAAACATATAGGTTGAGTTCCCCTTATCTGAAAAGCGTGGGACCACAAGTGTTTCCAACTTTGGATTTTCCTGGAATGTGGAATGTTTGCGTACGGGTATGAGACATCTTGGGGGTGGAGCCCATCTAAAGATGGAATTTACTTATGCTCCGTATACACTTTATGCACATAGCCATATTTTTAGATTGCGGTGTTTTAGCATGACCGTCATATGAGGTCATGTGCAGAACTTTGTCCTCACAACAAGCCAGTGTTCAGATGGTAGAGCACTTCAAACTTCAGACTCTGGGGTTGGCAACAGTTAAACGGATACATTTATTTATTTATTTATAGATATTTTTGCTATGGGGCACATGTGCTCACCAGAGAGACAGAAAGAGACAGAGATAGAAAGCAAGAAATCACCCCCCACTGGGTGGGGGGGCATGCCTAAATTCTTTCTCTTCCGTTCTCCTCCTGGGTTTTGGTACACATGCACGTGCCCAGCATGACTTTCAAGTCCAGGCCCAGAACTCAAAGTGCGGTCATCCTTGTGGTTAAGGAGTGTAGCACCTTAACCACCATGCCACCTGCTGGCCCTATTTATTTGTAAGGTTTTTGTCATAGGGCACATGCGCTCGCCAGAGAAAGGGAAAGTGAGAAACCAGCTCTCAGTGGAGATGGTCACACCACGGCTTCTCCTCCTGGGATTGTGGGGACACATGTACACCCCCTGGCATGATTTTCAAGCTGTCAGGTCTGGGACTCGAGCTGTGGCCAGTTACCATGCAGCAGTCCGGCACCTTAACCACCTCATCATCTGTACACGTTCTACATATACCCATTTAGCTGTGGGTGTGTGTCTCAGGCGCTAGAATGAAGGCTTTCATGAGGGCAGTGCAATGCCTATCTGGTTTTCCTTTTCTATTCTCATTGTGTAGCATAAGGTTTGGCATACAGTAGGTATTCAATAAAGCTGTTGAACTCAATGCATACAAATCTAAGTTTCAGAATTATCAAAATACTCGTATTTTCAATGACCACTGTATTAGCTAAGTAACTTTGTACATAAAAGAAATATATTTTTAAACAAGTTTCATATTGGAAGAAATACAGATATTGTTTTTAAATTATTTTTGATTTTTTTCATTAAAGAATTATTCTTTTTTAACTTTACCTATCCATTTATTTATTGATTGATTTAAATATGACCACAGAGGGACAGAGTGGCAGGGGCGGGTGAGAAAGCAAGTTGCCAGGGACTCGAGATGCGCCTGGCATGTGGGAGCCCAGTCCTTAACCACCACACCACCTGCTGGTTCCCAAATGCAGACCTTCTTAGGCTAGTGGTTCTAAGCTCCTGTTTAATCCTTGCTAAGCCATCTGAATACACTACCTAGCCATCTGCCTCACACCACGCCCAGCTCCAATACTATGTGCAATTTGAAGTGAATAACCTATTTATTCTCTATGTTGCTATTTTTTAAAACATGTATTTCTCCCATTGGGGGCACCCTAATGAGGTCCTCACAATGTGAGCCTCCCCCCAGGTCCAGCCAGTCAGGATGATGGACATACACAGGAGAGCCTGGCACGCACAGGGAAAGCTCGGGACATACACCCCAGGCCTCTCCACATGGCTTCGGCACGGTGGAGCGTAATGTTACCACTGCCCTACCAGAGCTGGCCTGAAATGTACTCTCAAATTTACAGAGAAGAGGCAGGTACGGTTTTCTTCCCTGAAACATTTTAAATCGATCAACAGGGTACCCCTTAACTCCAGACAGTTGTATGTATTCCCTCCCACCAGGACTGCTTTCCTGCAGAACCATAATATAACAACCAAAACTGCAATCTACTGGGGCCAGCAGGTCGCGTGGCAGTTAAGGTGCTGGACTCCCACATGGCCGACCACAGTTCAGGTCCTGGACCTGGTGGCTTGCTTTCTCCTTTCTGTTTCTCTCTGGTGAGCAAACACACCTTCCAGTGAACTTTTTAAAAAAAATAATTATTTTATTTATCTTTATTATTTATTTATTTTAATTTGACCAGAGAGGGAGAGAGGAGAGAGAGAGAAAGAGAAAAAGCAAGCTTCCAGGTCCAGGACTTGAACCATGACCCACCATGTGGGAATCCAGCACCCTTAACCACCATGCCACCTGCTGGCCCCACTGCAGCGAATTTTTTAAAAATAAATAAAAAATGTTTTTTTAAAAATTACAATCTACTACCGTCATCTAATTTTCAGATTTTATTCCCTAATAGCCCCAGTAACGCCCTTCCTAGCTAAAGGGTTCTGTCCAGAACCAGGAGCCACGCCTCTTCAGTCTCACACTGTGTCCCACGCCTCTTCAGTCTCACACTGTGTCCCCACGTCTCTTCGGTCTCACACTGTGTCCCCACGTCTCTTCGGTCTCACACTGTGTCCCCACGCCTCTTCGGTCTCACACTGTGTCCCCACGTCTCTTCAGTCTCACACTGTGTCCCACGCCTCTTCAGTCTCACACTGTGTCCCACGCCTCTTCAGTCTCACCAGTCCCGCCCTTGCTACCAAACGGCTTCAGTCCAAACCCGGGAGCCACGCCTCTTCAGTCTCACACTGTGTCCCACGCCTCTTCAGTCTCACACTGTGTCCCACGCCTCTTCAGTCTCATATTGTGTCCCACGCCTCTTCAGTCTCACACTGTGTCCCACGCCTCTTCAGTCTCATATTGTGTCCCACGCCTCTTCCGTCTCTGACTTGTATGACCTTGGCAACTCTGAAGCGTTCAGGCCAGCTCTCTTGCTGACTCTCCCTCGGTGTGAGTTTCTTTAGCACTTCCTCGTGATTGAGTTCCGGCTACGCATCTGTGGTAGACAGCACGGCAGTGACGGTGTCCTTGGTGCTCCCACCGGGTGGCACGGCATGTGGACCACCCCTCGCCGCTGATGCTCACTTTGACTGCTTGGTGAAGGGGAGCCTCCCAGACTTCTCTGCCACCAGCCGTCTCGCTGTCATTTTACAGGGAGGTACTTCGAGTCTGTGTGAGATGTCCTGTCCCTTGACAGACCTTCTCTTCTCGATTTTAAAAATTATTATTATATATTCTGTTTTACTC